GTTTAGGGTTTAGGGTTTAGGGTTTAGGGTTTAGGGTTTAGGGTTGAGGTTTAGGGTTTAGGGTTTAGGGTTAGGGTTTAGGGTTTGGGGTTTGAGGTTTAGGGTTTAGGGTTTGGGGTTTTGGGTTTAGGGTAATTTAGGGTTTAGGGTTTAGGGTTTGGGGTTTGGGGTTTGGGGTATGGGGTATGGGGTTTGGGGTTTGGGGTTTGGGGTTTGGGGTTTGGGGTTTGGGGTTTGGGCTTAGGGTTTGGGGTCTGGGGTTTAGGGTACCTCCAGGGGCTGTTTCTTTGCAATTTGGGGGCACAGGTTTTTGGGGCTTTTAGGGTTTTGGGGCTTTCAGGGTTTAGAGAGGTTGGGGTTTGGGGCAGTTGGGGTTTGGAGCTTAGGGTTTTGGATTGGGTTTCGCTCAAGAGACCTCTGTTTCCTTTTTGGGGGGGAGAGAGTTGGGCTGGGGAGGGAGTAGCACGTCCCATAGCAGGGGTTTAGGCCAGAAACTGGAGGGTTGCTGTGAACACCTGAAAACATACCCGATAATTCAGATCAGCGCCTATAGGGGTCGGGAAGAATTCCTAGTCGTATTCCCTTGTGGTCCCTATATAAGTTTACTATGCTAACCCCTAAACCCTGTTCTAAATATTAAGGCCCCTGTACTAACGCAACCTGAGCAGCTCCCATGGGAGCTTTATGGCCCCCCTTCCTGCAGAAATAGTCAGTCTCCTGAAAACCACCAAAAGAAGAGGTTTAGGGCTTATTTTAGGGTTTAGGGTTTCGGGGTTAAAGCTTAGCATGCTAAGGGCCCATGAAGCCAGCATTCCGTGTAGGGTGTAGCTGCTTGAACAGCTGGTGACACTGTGTGCCCTTCTATGTCCAATAGTGTTGTGAGGTTGGCAGGCAAGCATCCGCCGGTAATCGGAAAGGAGCTGTCCCGGTGACGCCAGGAAGGTTTAGGATGCTAACGGCCCATTAAGCCAGCATTCCTGTACAGGGCCCTGACCCCAAGGATTCCCGTTGAAAGAACTCTGGGGTCTCCAAGCCAGGTTGCCCAGTACTCTAGGATTAAACAGGGTGCCCTTTTTTGCTTAACAGGGGATTATAAGGGAACCTAAACCCCCCAGAAGGGGAATATGGGAAGACACTCAAAGTGAAAGAGCCAGAACTCTGGTTCACCCACACATCTTCCCGACCCCCACGAACCCTGAACCCTAACCTCCGCGAAACAGACTCTTCATAACCCAAATGCCTAACCCCCAAAGCCCCTGAAAGCCCAGCATCCTAAACAAAACCGTCTGCGCCCGAGGCCGGGACAGATCAGCATGCGGAGCTGTTCCGCCTCGGACATGCTCTGCGTGGGGGCTTCGAGACGTCGAGTGCAGGATTTACGGGATGTAGGGTGCAAGGGTTTGGGGTTTAGGGGTGGGCGGGTGGGGGTGTGGAGTCCAGGCTTTCTGGTCTGGAACCACCCTAAACCCTAAACCCTGAACGCTAAATCCTAAACCCTAAACCCTATACCCTAAAGAGCCTGAACCCTATGAACCCTAAACCCTAAACCCTTGCGGAGAATCGAGGCTCCCACATCCAGATTGCTGGCGGCCAGCAGATCCTTCATGGCGCTTAGGTGCTTAGGATTCTTTGAGCTACTTTAGGGTTTGGGGTTTGGGGTTTTAGGGTTTAGGGTTTAGGGTTTAGGGGCCGCGGCTGCTTTAGAAGGATTTAGAAGGGGATTCAGGGTAATAAGAACTAAAATTGTTCAGACCTACCTTCGTGAGGAGCTCAGGGTCCAGGGTTCCAGGGAGTAGGGATTAGGGTTTTGGGGTTTAGGGTTTAGGGTTTAGGGTTCAGGGTTTAGGGTTCTAGGGTTCTAGGGTTCTAGGGTTCTAGGGTTCTAGGGTTCTAGGGTTCTAGGGTTAGGTTCTAGGGTTCTAGGTTCTAGGGTTTAGGGTTCTCTAGGGGTTTCTAGGGTTCTAGGGGGTTCTAGGTTCTAGGGTTCTAGGGTTCTAGGGTTCTAGGGTTCTAGGGTTCTAGGTCTAGGGTTCTAGGGTTCTAGGGTTCTAGGGTTCTAGGGTTCTAGGGTTCTAGGGTTCTAGGGTTCTAGGGTTTTAGGGTTCTAGGGTTCTAGGGTTCTAGGGTTCTAGGGTTCTAGGGTTCTAGGGTTCTAGGGTTCTAGGGTTCTAGGGTTCTAGGGTTCTAGGGTTCTAGGGTTCTAGGGTTCTAGGGTTCTAGGGTTCTAGGTTCTAGGGTTTTCGGGTTCCAGGGTTGAAATTTGGAGGCCTGGAGGGTTGAGGCCCATGGAAGAACTCCAAAACCTAAAACCCGCCCTCTGAAGAAATGCACCTCAAACCCTAAACCCCAAACCCCAAACCCTAAACCCTAAACCCAAAACCCTAAACCCTAAACCCCAAACCCTAAACCCCCACATGTCCTTCCGACGGACTTCGAACTGCCGGGGCTTAGGTAGACGCTAGTGCTCTGTTGCTTTAAAGCTTAGGGCATCTCTTGGCAAAAGCCCCTAATCCCTAGCCAATAATTCTGGGTTGCCCAGTAACCTAGGCTTAAAAAGGGTGCCCTTTTTTGCTTAAAGGGGTTTGTAAGGGAACCTAAACCCCCCAAAAAGGGAATAAGGGCACAACTGGGCATCCTAGAATTGCACCCCTAAGAACCCACATGCGTCGGGCTTCACGAATGGAGCACTCAGGGTGTTCAGAAGGGATTACGTATTATATAAACATATATATATATGCATATATATATATATGCATATATATATATATATATTATGTATTTGTTTGCATGTTCATGCGCCCCCTTCACACGTTCCCATGACTAGCTTGCTGGCATCCATCGCAGAATCCCTCCAAACCCTGCATTCTGAAACCCTGAAGCCTCAAACCCTGAAGCTTTAAACCTGCCGCCTATAAGACTTGAGGCTAAGGGACCCAAAGTTAAGCACCCCACCTATGAGACTTGCTGTTTGGGGACTGGATATACCTAAACCCTAAACCCTAAGCCCGAAACCCTAAACCCTAAACCTCTAAAAAACTCCACGACGCCGCCTGGCCTCTGGAACGAGCTCGGTGAAACCCATCACAAGGCCTGACACGTCTAACTCTGATAGCGCCGGATCTAGGGTTATGGGTTAAGGTGGCCCTAAACCCTAAACCCTAAACCCTAAACCCTAGAACTTAAACCCTGAACCCTGAAACCCTAAACCACGTCCTCAAGCCGACTACATGTTCTTGAGCCCTACATAGCTACATCCCAAACTCTCCCTCAGCCCGCAGAACTCACCATATAGGCAATAATTTAGGGTTTACGGTTCAGGGTTTAGGGTTTAGGGTTTAGGGCTATCCCAATAAGATAACCCAAAAACCTGACACCTACTTCTTCGATTGCGACTTCAGAACTTGAGACGTGCATCACACCCGTGCGCTGCAGAAGGGCGAATTATATTTAGGGTTTAGGGTTTGGGATTTAGGGTTTAGGGTTTAGGGTTACTTGCCTAAGGATCCTGACGGCCCAGAACATCATGCGAAGGGTTTCAGGTTTTGGGTGGGTATAAGTTTAGCGATCAAAACTTGGGGTGTAAATACGGTGCAACATTCAATCGAAAACCTCAAACCCTCGCGCACAAGGAACCTCTTGCAAGAATGCGACGCCTGCACACAGCCGGGCGTGCCACCCCTGTCACCGAGAGGTGCCAACGCCAACCACAACTATGGCGCCGCATCGTAGCCGGAGACTTGTCTAAACCCTAAACCCCAAACGCTAAACCCTAAACCCTAAACCCTAAACCCTGAACCCTGAACCCTGAACCCTGAACCCTAAACCCTAAACTCTAAACCCTAAACCCTAAACCCTAACCCTAAATCCTTAACCCTAGACCGTGGAAACAACGGGCATGCTCCGAAGATTCCTCGGCTCGTAGTGAGCCAACGCCGGTGGCCACGTAGAACACCGCTGCTCAAAGACGCGGGCTGAGTAGAAGGCGCGGATTGCTGATTCGTTGCAGCTGTGTACGGCCAAGAGGGTTTAGCGTTTAGGGTTTCGGGCTTAGGGTTTAGGGTGTAGGGTTTGGGGTTTAGGGTTTAGGGTTTAGGGTCTAGGGTTTAGGGTTTAGGGTTTAGGGTGTAGGGTTTAGGGTTTAGGGTTTAGGGTGTAGGGTTTAGGGTTTAGGGTTTAGGGTTTAGGGTTTAGGGTTTAGGGTTTAGGGTTTAGGGTTTTTAGGGTTTAGGGTTAGGGTTTAGGAGTTTAGGGTTTAGGGTTTAGGGTTTAGGTTTAGGGTTAGGGTTTAGGGTTTAGGGTTTTTAGGGGTTTAGGGTTTAGGGTTTTGGGTTTAGGGTTTAGGTTTAGGGTTAGGGTTTAGGGTTTAGGGTTTAGGGTTTAGGGTTTAGGGTTTAGGGTTTATGGGTTGAGGGGTTTAGGGTTTAGGGTTTAGGGTTTAGGGTTTAGGGTTTAGGGTTTAGGGTTTAGGGTTTAGGTTTTAGGGTTTAGGGTTTAGGGTTTAGGGTTTAGGGTTTAGGGTTTAGGGTTTGGGTTTAGGTTTAGGGTTTAGGGTTTAGGGTTTAGGGTTTAGGGTTTAGGGTTTAGGGTTTAGGGTTTAGGGTTTAGGGTTTAGGGTTTAGGGTTTAGGGTTTAGGGTTTAGGGTTTAGGGTTTAGGGTTTAGGGTTTAGGGTTTAACCACACACACATACACACACAGATTTACCAAGACGCGATGGAATCGCCAAGGCATGGACAGCCAGGTTTCATGGCAAAAGTTCCAAACCCCAAATCCTTAACCCCCTCTCTCTCTCTGTCTCTCTCTCTCTCTCTCTCTCTCTCACATTAATTTAATCTTTACTCACTTCGTGGTTCAAGGCCCATCGTTCGTGGTTCAAGGCCCATCTTTCGCGGTTCAAGGCCAATCGTTCGTGGTTCAAGGCCAATCGTCGTTTTTGGCCTTGAACCACCAATGCTTGGTGGTTCAAGGCCAGTTTTTGGCCTTGAGCCATGGTTGCCAGGTTCAAGGCCAAATCGTTCGTGGTTCAAGGCGGTTCAAGGCCAATCGTTCGTGGTTCAAGGCCAATCGTTCGTGGTTCAAGGAAACGTGGTTCAAGGCCAACAACTCGTGGTTCAAGGCCAATCCTTCGTGGTTCAGGGCAAGCTTTTGGCCTTGAACCACGAGTCCGTCGTGGTTCAAGGCAAGCTTTGGGCCTCGAGGCACGTTTCGTTGGCCTTGATCCGCGGTTCTTGGCCAGCTTTCGGCCTTGAACCGTGGTTCAGGGCCAGCAATTCGTGGTTCAAGGCCAATCCTTCGTGGTTCAAGGCAAGCTTTGGCCTTAAGCCACGACTTTTTGGCATTGAAACGTTGTTCAAGGCCACATTTGAGGCTATGAAGTACAGCTAAGACAGCAAGGGCTAGGTCTTGGTTGATGTTCGCGGCAAGCCCGAAACAGACAACAGGCCCCAAAAAGCCCCGTAGCAGATCGGCCCCTGCAGTCCTCTCAACCAAGCGCGATAAAGAAAGCATGCCCAAAAAAGTCCCGTAACAAATCGGCTCATGCAGTCCTCTCAGCCAAGCTCCACCCAACAAAGGCCCAGATAAGTTTCGTAACAGATCGGCTCATGCACTCCTCTCAACCAAGCCCTAAAAAGAAAATTGGCCTGGAGCCGGGTCTTAGTTGATGTTCGAGGGTAAGGCGGGAAGAGACTGGCTAAGGCTGAGAGTTGACTTAGATTTGACAGGCACAGCTCAAGCGACAGGGTATGAGCTAAAAGCAACTTGCAGCCGTAGAACTGCGTGCGTGATTGGAGTAATACTTCCTATTCTCTCAATGTTGTGGGATTCTCTTTCTGGCGTTATCTCAGAGCCGTTTACATATAACTTTCTGTGAAACTACTCGATCCGGAGCTGCTGAACCCTAAGCCCTAAACCCTAAACCCCAAACCCTAAACCCCAAACCCTAAACCCCAAACCCCAAACCCTAAACCCTAAACCCCAAACCCTATACCCTAAACCCCAAACCCTAAACCCCAAACCCTAAACCCTAAACCCATATCTATCTGGGCTCCCGGCATCCAATCTCTGTGCGGATGGTCCCAATCAAGAAGTCTTCGCAAAGTTTCTGCGCATAGTCCTGGAAGAGTGGGTTTAGGGTTTAGGGCTTAGGGCTTAGGGCTTCGGGCTTAGGGCTTAGGGTTTAGGGTTTAGGGCTTAGGGTTTAGGGTTTAGGGTTTAGGGTTTCCTGTTTAAGTCCTCTTTTTGGGTACTCTGGACCTATGTAATTAGACAGGGTCTTCTGGGTGGGAGCAGTTTCAAGTACAACCCAAACCCTGAAATAAGACAGGGATGAAAAAGGGGAGAGTATTGAAAGCATAGTGATCTAGGCCCAGCGAGGACTACTAAGTAGCAGGAAGCAATTAAAGCATGAGCCCATTTCTTATGTGCTTTAGAAGGGACATGTCACTTGATGATTGCCCCAAACCCTAAACCTAGCCTAAGCCCTAAGCCCTAAACCCTAAACCCTAAGCCCTAAGCCCTAAACCCTAAACCCTAAACCCTGTGCACGGATCGCCTTGAACACTCCAACATATAGGACCTTGCAGTTGATGATCCCTTCTCTCTTCCGGTTGACGCTCCATTTCTTTAGGCTTCAGAATCCCGATTTGTGGGTTTAGGGTTTGGGGTTTGGGGTTTTGGGTTTAGGGTGCCTAAACCCTGAACCCTAAACCCCCAAAAAATAGGGTACATTAGATTAACGCTCGTGCAACAAGACCCTTTCGTCAACCCCAGCACCTCCCAATACTTGCAGGGCTTTGGGATTAGGGATGTTCCTTCACTTGAGTCTGTGAATGCTGGTAACCAGCCCATCCTGGGCAAGGGTTTATGTCTTTTCTTGGCCTTTTGCTCCGGGGATGTAGAGGGGTTCTGTGGGTAGTTCTCTAAATTGGCGTCCCTTTTGAGGGTGCTATATATAGTACGGCACCTTACACAAAGGATCCGTAAAATGGACTCTCTGATTGCAAGCGTGCGTCTCGTCAAGATACGGGCCACTACTGTAAAAACACTAGTGGGTTTAGGGTTTAGGGTTTAGGGTTTAGGGTTTAGGGTTTAGGGTTTAGGGTTTAGGGTTTAGGGTTTAGGGTTTAGGGTGTAGGGTTTACGGTTTAGGGTTTAGGGTTTAGGGTTTAGGCCTCAGGGCTTAGGGCTGAGGGTTTAGGGTTTAGGGTTTAGGGCCTTATCTCGAAGCCTCATACATTCCGCTCTTTTCAACTCGGAGGCTCTGCCGCGGATCCACCAGCCTTGCCACGAGCCAGCTGGAAAGGAACTGCGACGCGCACATCGTTTCCTTGCTGCCCTCTTCCCAGCAATGTGAGGCTCATGCTCCGACATTGCTCAGTGACGTCTTTCCATCTTGTCCTCTGGCACACTACTGGCCCATGATCTACCGACAACTAGGGGCGATCCTACACCCTGAGCCCTAAACCCTAAACCCTAAACCCCAAACCCTAAACCCTAAACCCTAAACCTTAAACCCTAAACCCTAAACGTCCTGTGCGCAAGGCTGCCTCTTTCAGCATGTCGACACCAGCCAGGGGCGGCCTCTCCAGGATGCTATGAAATACCTCCGCCTCATTTCCTTGGTAGCTCAGGAGGTTTAGGGTTTAGGGTTTAGGGTTTAGGGTTTAGGGTTTAGGGTTTAGGGTTTAGGGTTTAGGGTTTAGGGCCAGTAACCACATGATAACAAGGGTACTCTTTTCAAGGTTGGTTGCTTTCTAAGGGAACCTTGAACCCAAAAAAGTGAAATGGGTACCACTGGGCTACCAAGTTTCGCATCCAAAAGTGGTACGCGTGGCGGGGAAAGTCGGAGAAGTCATGGCCACAAGGATTGGCAAAGCTCCTCCCGATCTCAAGGCAGCCGTTGTAGAAGTACGTGACCATCAGCATCTGCACAAACTTCAGCACTGGGCTGCTCATCTTTTGAGAGATGATCCAGGCCCCTGTCATCACACCACAGTCGGCAGCCATCACCATCGTCAGAAAATGGACCAAGCTCGAGAGTAGCTGCACGTAGAGGAAGGGCAGCTGTGTGTCGATGAGGGCTAGAAGAGATCCGGCGCCACCGCGGGCCTGAAGGACTTTGTCCAAAAAAAGCCGAAGATCGACGTCAGACATGTGGCCTTGCTTCTGGAGCTCCCGGAAGATCCAGGCAACCCAGGCCCAGACCGCGGAACACTTGGAGGGATGGTTGGCCAGGCAGGCCGCCTAGGGTTTAGGGTTTAGGGTTTAGGGTTTAGGGTTTAGGGTTTAGGGTTTAGGGTTTAGGGTTTAGGGTTTTTAGGGTTTAGGGTTTAGGGTTTAGGGTTTAGGGTTTAGGGGTTTAGGGTTTAGGGTTTAGGGTTTTAGGGTTTGGGTTTGGGTTTGGGTTTAGGTTAGGGTTTAGGGTTTAGGGTTTAGGGTTTAGGGTTTTTAGGGTTTAGGGTTTGGGGTTTGGGGTTTGGGGTTTGGGGTTTAGGGTTTCGGGTTTGGGGTTTGGGGTTTCGGGTTTCGGGTTTAGGGTTTAGGGAATCGGGTTTGGGGTTTGGGGTTTCGGGTTTCGGGTTTCGGGTTTGGCATTTGGGGTTTGGGGTTGGGGGTCTGGGGTTTGGGGTTCAGGGGGCCGCCTCGTGGGGAGTGAGGAGATGCCTCTGGACCAGGGTGTCCAGCTCCTGGCAAAGTGCAAGCAGCCTTGGAGTGGGTGGAAAATTCCAGCTTACTATACACATAAGCCCTGGAAACTCGAGTCCTTTTGGGTACCCTAAACCCTAAACCCTAAGCCCTAAACCCTAAACCCTAAACGTTGAGCTCCTCATCGCGGCCCTCATTCTGCATGAAGGTCAGCTCAAACGAAAGCAGGCCGTAGCGCAGCACCAAGCTGCGCATCCTCCGCCACTCCGGGCCCGGAAAGTAGGTCCCGGTCAGGATGCAAAGGTCATCCACAGCACCCCAGAGTCCCCCAATCCTAGTTCTCATGGTTGGGGTGGTATTAAAAAAAATGATATTCCTTATTGGGTTTAAGGTACCCTTCAAAATGTAAAATGTTATCCCAACTACGACAAAGAATCCCCTGACTGCGCATACTCCACCACCTCGTCATGACCGTCGAGATATAGAACCCTAGCAGGATTCCAATCAAGGAGGTCAAGAAGTTGCTCATGTTGTCCAAATCCGACAGCCAGGCAATCTGCAGAAGCTCCACATCGATGACCCTCCTCACTGCGATATGGCCGCAGCAGACCAGTGCTGCGACAAGCACCGAAACCAGCATGTGGCGGAGGATCTGGGAGTTTGACAGCAGGGTGTGCTCGAACATGAAAATCACGTGGAAGGAAAGCGAGCGTTCCGCCTTGTACCTCAACATGTGGCCACCCGGAGAGTCAACGAACATGTTGTTGTCCAAGCCCCTCTCTTCAAAGTTCGTGGTGTTTCCGAGGAAGCCTTGCTAGGCCAGTAGCCACAGTGAGGGTTTAGGGTTAGGATTTAGGGTTCGGGTTTAGGTTTTAGGTCCAGGAACCATGTCATAAAAAGCGTACCCTTTTTGGGGTTGGCTAAGAACCTTACAACCAAAAAAAATGGGGGAAAAGGGTGCCACTGGGCTACAGCAAGAAGCCTTCCCTCTCCCTCTCTGAACGATCCAGCGACTCCCCATGCTGCCCGAGATTTCGGCAGAACTCCTGGTGCTCGTACTCGCGCCGTGCCTTGTGCCTGTAGGTTGCCCTCAAGGCCGAGTAGAGAAAGAACACGGCGCACCCGTACAGGGCGCAGATCCACAACCAACGGCTGGCTTCCAGATGCTCAGGCGCCATGGTTTTCGCTGTGGGCTGGGTGAGTCAGGATTTAGGGTTTAGGTTTTAGGGTTTAGGGTTTAGGGTTTAGGGTTTAGGGCTTAGGAGGTGGACAGATCCTGAGCCCTAAGCCCTAAACCTTTATGTGACTCTTGGACCCTCCCCCCCCCCCCCCCCCAACACCCCAATTTCAATCCGTGAAGAGCCAAACCCCAAAACTGCAAAAGGAGCCTCTGGCTATCTGCCACACATGAGCACGAGGCTTTGCTTCAAGAGAAATCAGCAAGATCGCTTAACTAAGAGAACCTTCTTTGCTAGGCGTCTTGTTTAATGAGAATGTTGTGCTTGGTCCTGCGCGTGCGCGGAGATAGGGTGTTGGGTCTAGGGTTTAGGGTTCGGGCAGCCCTCAACCCTAAACCTTACACCCTGAACCCTAAACCCTAAACCCTAAACCCTAAACCCTAAACCCCAAAACCCTAAACAAACCCTAAACCCCACCTCTTTGTTCTCTTCTGAGACCAGTATGGCACTTCCTCCAGGCTGCAGCCTTGGTCTGACGGAGATTTACCAGGTTTAGGGTTTAGGGTTTAGGGTTTAGGGTTTAGGGTTTAGGGTTTGGGGTTTGGGGTTTGGGGTTTGGGGTTTGGGGTTTGGGGTTTGGGGTTTGGGGTTTGGGGTTTGGGGTCTGGGGTCTGGGGTCTGGGGTTTGGGGGTTTGCGGTTTAGGGTTTAGGGTTTGGGGTTTGGGGTTGGGGGTTGGGGGTTTGGGGTTTGGGGTTTGGGGTTTGGGGTTTGGGGTTTGGGGTGTGGGGTTTGGGGTTTAGGGTCTACGGCTAGGTTTGTTTGAGGGTTGAGGCTTTAGGGTTTAGGGTTTAGGGTTCTGCGCGCTTCTGAAGTTCAGGCGTTTAGGGTTTCATCTTCAGTGTCATTAAGGAGACCCGCGTGCCGTGGCCTCCGGGAGCTTTGAAGCATTGAGGGCTGAAGGCTGTTTAGGATTTAGGGTTTAGGTTTAGGGTGTTCTTGTTCAAGGCGTATGGGGCTCAGGCTTAAGGGACACACAGGGTTTTCGAGGCGTATCTTTTTACCCGTAACCCCAAACCCTAAACCCTAAACCCCAAACCCCTAACCCCTCAAGCGCCAGGCTCTCTTTGGCCGTCGCTGGACACGAAGGTGAGCGGGTCCATACCTTGGGTGGCCCGCAAGTCACCGCCGTTTTGTGAAAGCCTTTTGAAGGGTTTAGGGTTTAGGGTTCAGGGTAAGTTTAGGGTGTCAGGGGATAGGGTTTACGCTTTAACGGTTTTAGGGTTTTTGGGTTTTAGGCCTTTTGGGGTGCTAGGGTTTTAGGGGTTTCGGTTTTTCGGGTGTCAGGGTTTAGAGGTAAGACAGTAAAACCTTTAAACCATAAACCTGGCTACCCTAAACCCGACACTCCATAGCCTAAACCCTACGCATTTCACCCCCAAGAGGAGCCCCTAAACTGAACGTGTTTAGGGTTTAGGGTTTCGGGTTTGGGGTTTAGGGTTAGGTTTTGGGATTAAGCAAACCCCAAAGCCCTAAAGCCCTAAAACCTGCACCCTTGCCAGGCTCTCCGCCGAGAGGCCCCACGAAGACAGGGAGCGCTGGCGCTCCTGGGCAACACTTTAGATGGTCTTATGCATAAGTGGTTTCTTTCGGGTTTCGGGTTTCGGGATTCGGGATTCGGGTTTCGGGTTTCGGGTTTCGGGTTTAGGGTAAGTTTAGGGTAAGTTTAGCGGTTAGGGTCTATCCACAAGAGCTGGAGCAGCATTTGCCACGGTTTAGGGATCCTTCAAAGGGCTAGAGAGCCAGCTCTCTGAGATCCCTTCATGTATGCCTCCAAGCTCAGAGTTTGCAGACTTGCAGGTGCCGGGTGTAGGGTTTAAGTTTAGGGTTTAGGGTTTAGGGTTTAGGGTTTAGGGTTTAGGGTTTAGGGTTTAGGGTTTAGGGTTTAGGGTTTAGGGTTTAGGGTTTAGGGTTTAGGGTTTAGGGTTTAGGGTTTAGGGTTTAGGGTCTAGGCTGGACATCCAGGAGTTTAGGGCGTAAGGCTCAGGGGTTTAGAGTTGCACCGACACCCTGTAGCCCTAGAAACGCCGAGTTCTCCAGCCGTGCTTGGAACCCTAAACCCTAAACCCTAAACCCTAAACCCTAAACCCTAAACCCTAAACCCTAAACCCTAAACCCTAAACCCTAAACCCTAAACAACACCCTGTAAAACCCTGCAAAACCCCTGGTAAGCCCTGTAAACCCCTGTAACACCCTGAAAAACCCTGCAAAACCAGAGCCAAAAATCCTTAAACCCGATGAATCCTACAGACCCCAGAAGCCCTTCAGCAACCACTTTTGGCCCCATACACCCTATAAACCCTCATATACAATCCTAGAAACCATTGAAAGCCCTTTTGCCCTATGAACCCCATCGCAAAAACTGCGTCGTCATCCAAACCCCTAAACCCCTAAACCCCTAAACCCCTAAACCCCTAAACCCTAAACCCTAAACCCTAAACCCTAAACCCTAAACCCTAAACCCTAAACCCTAAACCCTAAACCCTAAACCCTAAACCCTGAACTGAAACCCTCAGCCCAATATCCATGCAGGAGCCCGACCTCAGCACCGTTTGGCTGCAGTAGCGGCCGGACCTGGGGGGATTCGACGTCCATGCCAAAACCCGAAACCCCACCCTGCACGCAAAAAATTGCATCCGGCTCCGTTGATGCGTGGTTTAGGGTTTAGGGTTTAGGGTTTAGGGTTTGGGGTTTAGGGTTTGGGGTTTAGGGTTTAGGGTTTCGGGTTTCGGGACTTCCCGTGCAGCCTGACCCTGAGGGCCAGCTGCGGCATTCTAACACCCGCAACCAAAGCCCTATGAAGCATAAACCCTGATCCCCTACCAGGCTTCCTGTGGCAGACCCTAAACCCAAAAGCGTTTAGGGTTTGGGGTTTATAGGGTTTATAGGGTTTAGGGTTTGGGGTTTAGGGTTTAGGGTTTAGGGTTTATGAAGCACCCTAAACCCACAGCCTTAATCCGACCCACTCCAACCAGCCACCCGCCCCCGGCTGAGTGACGGACCCGATGTACCCAAAAATCTGGATCGAGCCTGGGCCCAGAGCTTCTTTTCTAGAATCCCAGCAGTTTAGGGTTTCGGGGGTTTGGGGGGTTTTGGGGTGTTTGGGGGGGTTTGGGAGGCTTGGGGGCTTAGGGGGTTTTGGGGGGTGTGGGGTAAGGGTCGAAGGTTTCAGAGTTTCGGGGGTTGAGGGCACAAGGCATCCATCCTAAGCTCCCAACCCCCCCCCCCCCCCCAACGAGGGCCTCTTAAGGGTTTAGGGGCTTCGGGCTTAGGGCTTCGGGCTTAGGGTTTAGGGTTTAGGGTTTAGGGTTTTGCAGGTTTGGGGTTTAGGGTTTAGGGTTTAGGGTTTAGGGTTTAGGGTTTAGGGTTTAGGGTTTAGGGTTTAGGGTTTAGGGTTTAGGGTTTAGGGTTTAGGGTTTAGGGTTTAGGGTTTTTACATGCTTGTTCGGCACTTCTCATCTGTGGGCTCCTGCTGGAATGATTCTATGGCTCGGAGCTCCCAGGATTCAGGGTACGGTAGAGGGCTTTTGGGTTTCTAAGCCCTAGACTGGGTCCTATACCCCAAACCCTCAACCCCAAACCCTAAACCCTAAACCTCAAACCCTAAATCCCAAACCCTAACCCTAAACCCCAAACCCTAAACCCCCTAAACCCTCCGTTCCGAGGCTGTCGCTGCCGAACGTCGCCAGGTCGCAACGGAACTCCTCCGACGCAGCTCATCTCTCTACAGGGACTCTTCCAGGCGTGTAGGGGTTACTGTGTTTCCCAAACGGGGAGGGGGGGGGTGGGGTGGGGGTACCCTTTTTGTAGTATATATGTTTGGGGTGTATTTACATGCCCAGAAAAGGGGGTTGTGAAATTTTAAAAGGGTAGCAGGATTGAGAGTCCCCCCGCCCATGATCCCCGTAGTTCTCTACGACGACCCTGATATATTCAGAGTACCCAAAGAGGGGCCATATTAGAAAGAATTGTCTAAACCCTAAACCCTAAACCCTAAACCCTAAACCCTAAACCCCAAACCCTAAACCCTAAATGTTCCCAGAGACGGCTCACTGAGGCAGAGTGCAGGTTACGCTTCCGAGGCTTGGAGGTTTCGAGGTTGGCTGTCGCAGAATGCGGGTTGAGGATTGGGGCACCCCAAGATCATAAATGTCCGTAGATGATTTTTCGTTATATTACTATGTGAGTACATTATTGTATGATTACATATTGTACAACTATATTCATATGATTATATGATTATGTGATTGTATGTTTATATTACAGCCGGATACTAACCTTTGTAGCGAGAGCAACCCCACAACCCTACCAAACCCCTCACGCTGTAGCCTAGCAAAGTCAACCGCCGGTTCTAAATTGATTGGGTCAAAAAACTAGAGCCTACAGCCCACGACTGAAGGAATCAGCTGCAAGGCACAAGCATCTTTTGGCCGATCCTGCTAGACAATGGGGTTCAGGGCTGAGGCTTGTGTTGGGGGGTGCCAGTAACAAACACAATAACCCCTGAACATCCGAAACCCCCAAAAGCTCCTAGACCCAAAGTGCATCGGCCGGCCTAGGATGCACTTGAAAACCAGCAGCGAAAGCTGCATTGGGCCTGCATCTCTCATATAAGGAATAAGTATGAATGTGTATATATATATATATACATAGACATATTGCAATATGTTACACCCACACATACATATTTAGGTGTAAACCCTAAACCCTTCTGGGGGTCCCTCCTCTAGTACCCAAGGAAATGTTGTTGCAGCCAGCGTGGGCCAGCGTGGGTTTTTAGGAGCTTAGGGGGGTCTAGGATTTTAGATTTCGGCTAGACCCTAAACCGTCAACCCCAAGTGCTGAAGTTTAGGGCTTGGGGTTTAGGACCTTGCTTCAGTTCCAGTAGCCCCCCCTCCCCCCCGCCCCGCTACTTTGTGCTCTACAAAAGGGGTGTCGTTT